ATGTCTAAAATTATTGGTCTGCAAAAACAGAGCGTGAGTCATGGACATTATTTTGTGTATAATATAACTGTATTCCTAATTCTGCAAAATTGATAAGGAACCTCTCTTTATATGCTGTATAAGTGTGTTTTATATGTAGTATAACTGTGGTTTATATATTTTTTAAATGTGTTTTTATATATTGTTTAGGTGTGTTTTATAAGTTATAATGGCGTTGTCCATGTATTTACCTCACATCAATGAAATTTAATGGGAAGTAGGAATACATTGTTAAAACAATATTTAAATTAATCCCAACCAAAATAATCCACCCCACCCAATCCTACGGGCCCATCCTACGGGCCCATCCTACGAGCCCATCCTACGAGCCCATCCTACGGGCCCATCCTACGAGCCCATCCTACGGGCCCATCCTACGGGCCCATTCCCACGAGCAGATCTGCTGTGAACATATTACGGGAAAACTTGCAAACAGGACGCAACGAATCAACGAACATTGTTAACTCCTAAAAGTTTTTTTTTTTTAAGTCCAATTATTCCTGTACAATAAATCCTTTTGTATGCCCCTGTTGTATAAATAGGTGCCCTTCTACTGTGTAGCTAAGAGATTTATCAGATTTATAACAAAGATGTGTTGTTTTATTCAGGATGTGAGTTTGGAGATTTGTTTAAACCCTGCTTAAAGGACCAGTGCACAAGTTACGACCCAGATTATTCCAGAGAAAACTGCTGCGACACATGTTCAGATGCGTTATACACACGTCCAACGACCATCAGAGTGACTTCCTTTATAACAAGCACAGCAGCTAAGCTTGGTGACGGAATAACTCCCCCTTCTAAGGGTGACCACCCAACATCTCTGAGAGGACACGTCCGTTTTATTCCAACAGAAAAAATTCAAAACATTTCTCATGAGGGACAGACTAAAAAACAGGACAGTGAGAAAGTTAAAGATGGCGAGCGAGTTAATGCAATGGGAAAGCCCAATGTTAGAAACACTGTTGTCAGACGGGATGAAGAGAGCGAAGAGGATGATAGTTCTGGTAAGTGGGGCTTTCACTGTTGGCACAATTAGTTTGTAAATATAAATTTTAATTAGGAAATGATTTAGTGATTTCAGATTGTACAGTACATGTTGTGATATCGCCAGGTCACATTTCATTATGGTCACACTTAACCTTAAAGTTAGGACCGAAAGATAAACAAATTCTTTTGTGTCTCATTCAGTCATTCAGCAAGAATTTACCTGCCAGCTTCCATGACGGAGACAAAACTACCAGTATCTTAATGATCCCTAATTAACTCATTATTTTTTATTTTTGGTTAAGGATAGCTGATTTTTACGCTAGAACCGGCCTGCACAACATACGGCCCGCGGGTCACATGCGGCCCGCCAGCACCCACTATGCAGTTCGCAAAGTAAAAAAATTTTTTTTTTTTTTTTTTTTTTAAAAGCCCCCCCCCCCCCCCCGGTGCTATTTTCTTTTGGCCCGCACAAGTCCTGTCCTTTTTTCTTCTGGCCCGCATAAGTATTACGGCCCGCCTTACATTTTGAGTTAAGCAGACCTTCCCTACAGAATTACTTTATTAATTTACTATTATTTTAGACTTTAGATGTCTTGTATTTAATTTCTTATAATTGCAAAAAGTTGTCTTGGTCAAAATGTGTAGGCTATTTATTCATGTGCTGAAAATTAAAATATAGGCCAACAATGTAATTTTTTATTTTAAAAAACACATTTCTATTTCCATTTATTTTGATCAATAAAAGAACATTTACTTATACTAAAAATTGGTGTCATACCTTGAACAAAAAAGATATACGAACTCAATGAAATATCTTAGTAACTTCTTGTACTAATATGACTAAATGAGTGAGTCATGTGATATTCCATGTTTCCTGTCATATAATTTCCCAGTTATATTAATGTTACTCTCTTATCCCCGACAGATGAAAGCAGTCACAGGGGCTACTACTCTAGTTACAGGAATATATTTAACCTACTCCGACCAAAAACATATCCAGCCCCCAAATCTCGAGATGGTAAGTGAAGCAGTTTGGGAGGTTTAATGTTTACGCTTATTAATTTAAATCATTGTGTGGTGAGTAGATATGCCTAATGTTTGCTGATTTGACATGTAGGCCTACATTGGAAGTTAATAGATGGAGTGTGAGTAGATTTATAACATTTTCTGTTACTATCTTACTATATACTTTTTAAATAATTGATTTGTCTATTATTTCTTTCAAATTATTTGATTTTAACAACTTCACTATTTTCTTCATTATAAATGTCAAAAGCAGTTTCACAAAAATAGTAATAGTAAGAGTAAAAATGGTTCTAGTTATGCACACAACGTAAGAAGAGAAAGGGATTTAGCCTTTCAGTTATTTCGTAAATCTACAAGGAATAAGTATTCTTAATTAGTTTCTTTATAAATAACTTTCCACAGAACGCGTGGAAAATATTCGGACATTTTTGAATGGCATCAGGAGGCACGGAGACGACTCGCTGTTACAAAGGATGCGATTGTTAGACTACATCCTGGACAGGGCATCACACCAGGACTCAGGCGATGTCAGGGCGGCGGGAACAGCCAGGTCTGAGAAGGGCGGTCATAATATGGGGATAGGCATGGCACCCAGGGATGACCAGGTAATAGGGCAAGAGAACGGCGACGTGACAAGCAGAGCTGGGGGAAATGACAATGGTGAGATAACAAGTAATGCTGATGACAGTGACAGGAGTCGGATGACAAGTTATGGAGGTGGTAATAACAACAAGCCCAGGGAGAATGATCCAGTCATCCATTATCCAGTTCCAGATGACTATGAATATTTGGACGAGGTAAATGGTTTAAAGGATGATGAAGAGAGTGATGAACATAAATGAAAGTGTGATTAAGCCACCCCCACCCCATTTTTTCCCCTAGCTGGTATGTAGTATTCTGCCGACCCATTTGAAGGTCTATCTAAGAACCATAGGATCCTATTTCTATTATTTACCAAACAGAGAAACATATTTCCATTGAATAAACTCAGGGTTCACTTACTGTGGTGATGATAAAACCTCATTCCGCCAGATCATTCAGCATGATGATATTTAGAATTAATTCATGCATAACACATAAAACATCATTGCTAACAACAAACAGCTGTTCTCATCTCTTTACGTCAAGATTGTTTACCATCATATAAAACCTTGGACACGCAACCACAGACAGAAGCCTTGTTCCTCTGTCTCGTGAATTCATGTGTGAGATTCCCTGTTTTATTCCTACAACTCATACAATGATAAACATGTCACAATTCATACAATGATAAACGTGTCACAACGCATACAATGATAAACATGTCACAATTCATACATTGATAAACGTGTCACAACGCATACAATGATAAACATGTCACAATTCATACATTGATAAACGTGTCACAACGCATACAATGATAAACATGTCACAACTCATACAATGATAAACATGTCACAACTCATACAGTGATAAACATGTAACAACTCATACATAAATAAACGTGTCACAACTCATACAATGATAAACATGTCACAACTCATACAATGATAAACATGTCACAACTCATACAGTGATAAACATGTCACAACTCATACAATGATAAACATGTAACAACTCATACATAAATAAACATGTAACAACTCATACAGTGATAAACATGTCACAACTCATACAGTGATAAACATTCATAACTCATACAATGATAAACATTTCACAACTCATACAGTGATGAACATGTCACAACGCATACAATGATAAACATGTCACAACTCATACAGTGATAAACATGTCACAGCGCATACAATGATAAACATGTCACAACTCATACAATGATAAACGTGTCACAACTCATACAAGGATAAACATGTCACAATGATTACTTATTATAACTTCATGTCAATATTATTTTTCTTTGTCATTTTTAAATGACGAAAACAACTGCAATGAATGACATCAATCAATTGAGAGAGAACACTTTATTTTATCATAATTCAAATTTTAAAAGCATTTTGTGAACATTATGTTTTTTTTCGTGTAACATGGTTGTTAACTAAATGTTTTAATTGAGCTAACTCACTGTGACTGATGGACCAATTGAACCAACTCACTGTGACTGACAGACCAAATGAACCAACTCACTGTGACTGACAGACCAAATGAACCAACTCACTGTGACTGACAGACCAATGGAACCAACTCACTGTGACTGACAGACCAAATGAACCAACTCAGTTTGACTGACAGACCAAATGAACCAACTCACTGTGACTGACAGACCAAATGAACCAACTCACTGTGACTGACAGACCAATGGAACCAACTCACTGTGACTGACAGACCAAATGAACCAACTCACTGTGACTGACAGACCAAATGAACCAACTTACTGTGACTGTTGAACCAACTCACTGTGACTGACAGACCAAATGAACCAACTCACTGTGACTGCCAGACCAATGGAACCAACTCACTGTGAATGACATAACAAATGAACCAACTCACTGAGTGACTGACAGACCAATGGAACCAACTCACTGTGACTGACAGACCAAATGAACCAGCTCGATGTGACTGACAGACCAAATGAACCAGCTTACTGTGACTGTCGAACCAACTCACTGTGACTGACAGACCAAATGAACCAACTCACTGTGACTGACAGACCAATGGAACCAACTCACTGTGAATGACAGACCAAATGAACCAACTCACTGTGACTGACAGACCAAATGAACCAACTCACTTTGACTGATGGACCAATTGAACCAACTCACTGTGACTGACAGACCAAATGAACCAACTCACTGTGACTGACAGACCAGTGGAACTAACTCACTTTGACTGACTGGCCAATGATCTGAAAACACCAATAGTCAGAAACCTGTGCCTGTGTCATTGATTCAAAGAATGCTTATTGCTTATGTGTCAAAGTCATTGTCACAAGAAAGAAAACAAACATCTTTGTATATTTTAATGATTTTATTGTTATTATTTTTGTCATTCATAAATGCCTGCTCCCAGCACATGTGGTAAATTTTTCAATCATTATAGAATCCATCAACATGAAATCAACAAGAGAGCTTTATGTGTTACATGATTGACATAATATTTCAATGGGAATTTATACATCAATAGATCACTTTATTATGTTATAGAATTGACTCCTCTTAGTTCAGGAAGCTGAATGAAATATAAAAATATAAAAACAAACATGGTTAATAATCTGAATAATTAAATCATTTTGTTAAATTCAATAGTTTAACATAGATGTGAATATAGTTGAACTCAATAGTTGAACATGGATGTGATCATATTTTTAATTCAGGTCAAACCACTATTGCATAGGACAAGCAGTGAATTTTTTTATTAATTTTAGTAATTATTGAGAAATCTTAAAATCTACCATCAAATAAATAGACATGTATACGCCTAGAAGATTAATAAAAATCTGTTTTCTTTTCATCTGATTTTGAGCAAAAACGAAAACAACATAAAAATCTCAACAAGAAAAATAGAAAGAGAAATTGTGTTGTAAATCTTGATGACCTTAATGGCAGGGCCGAGTTGATGTAACAGAATCAACATTACATTCTTACAATACTGGATGGAATGGAAAGGAATTTCCTCACAAACAAGTTAGTTTAGAGCAGGGGTTCTCAACCTGTAGGTCATGACCCCTTTGGGGGTGGAATGACCATTTCACAAGGGTCGCCTAAGACCATCAGAAAACATGGTGGGGGTTCACCACAACATAAGGAACTATATTAAAGGATCGAGGCATTAGGAAGGTTGAGAACCACTGGGTTAGAGGATAATCAATCATATTTTTGCCTGGCTTTTCTACTAAATAAAGCTGGGAAATGAAGGCTTGGGCAATAAGTAATGTTAGGGAGGAATAGAGGCAAAGTCTACAATAGTTGTGTGAATAGGCTGTCTAACCATTACTTTGGAAATAAGCTATCAATCTCGATTATTTTTTTCTACTTAAAATGTTTAATGTCAAATTTATTATAAGACTAATCAAACATATACTAAAATAATATTCACTTGTTCAATTTTAATTTTTTTTTTAAAGTTAAGAGACTATAAAAGAAATTCCATGAGTTATAGCCCCTGGTTTTTCATTTTAAAAAAAGGCCATTGTTATGGAAGTGGAATAATTCTTAAATTAAGGAATTCCTGACAACTTTTTTGCAGTCTCAACAATATCAACAAATAAAGTTAATTGGGCCACTTAATTCATAACGGCTCTCATAAACGAGACTGGACGCTGGCCTTCATCGAGTCGACAAAAGGCTTCTGGTACTTGTAGAAGCCTTCATGAACCTGAAGAAGAAGAATAATATATATAATATTACAAAAGAATGTACAATAATAATGTATACATGTACCAAACAAAGATAAAATGTATAATTATTTTGTATAATTTTATGCCTGGTTGTTTTTTCTGGACAATTTATACATAGAGTCATAGAGTAGCTCCAATTACGTGGGGTCACTCTGAGCCAGGCTGCAAAATTAGTTTATGGGTGTGCCTTCAGTCCTTGACACCATATTAACGGTTGTATACGGCCCAGGCCTAGGGATGCGATTCCTTACGAGTCATCATTCAAGAGCAAATGCTCTGTAAAGTCTCAGCAAGCAATACTATGCTCATTATCTCTGTCAGCTAATCTGTCGTCTCATTGAGCCTGCCATAAGTCAACTAATGGTTTAGAGTTTGATGTGGGACTCACCTCAGTGCTGTTCAGTTTAGAACGTTTGGCGTACTCCATCAACGCTTCATAAACATTACCATCATATCGGCCGATGTCGCTGTCTAGGACAAGATCGGGGAAATCAAAGGCATCAACGAGGGCGATTGCGTTAGGCTTCAGAGCTGCCAACAAATCATAGATTCGTCCCTCAACAATTTCCAGCTGTTGGTCATTCAGGTATCCACCCTACCAAAAGCAAACAAATTTGTTCATTGGTCATTCAAGTAAGACAAGTAAGGTAGCCAGCCTAACAGCAAACAAATGATTGCATTGGTCATTCAAGTAGCTATGTCCATTATTTCATCTAAATGTGTAGATTGGAGTGAGAGGGGGTGGAGACATTCTAACCAGTCAATAATAAGCATCTTATAGGTCATTTGTCACAGCGTACTGTGTCATACACCTAAGAATTTACTATAACTTATACAAAGACCAACCTTGGTGAACTGCCCAGAGTACTTGGTGATGCCGTAGAGAGCGTAGAGTTCACACAACTGGGACAGGACTGTGTAAAGAGATGGCTCCAGGTTGGAGGTCAGGACTTTCTCAATGAAAGCTCTCACAACAAACGCATGCGTGAAAGCCTGGACATCGAGAAATAAATTTATAACAATAAATTATGTCAGTGAGACAAAGAAATGAATGTATGCAAATAAATTATGTCAGTGAGACAGAAATAAATGTATAACAATAAATTATGTCAGTGAGACAAAGAAATGAATGTATGTCAATAAACTATGTCAGTGAGACAGAAATAAATGTATGATAATAAATTATCTCAATTAGACAGCAATAAATGTATGACCATAAATTGTTAGTGAGACAGAGAAATAAATGTATGACAATAAATTGTTTGTGAGACAGAGAAATAAATGCATGACAATAAATTGTTATTGAGACAGAGAAATAAATGTATGACAATAAATTGTTTGTGAGACAGAGAAATAAATGCATGACAATAAATTGTTAGTGAGACAGAGAATTAAATCTGTGACAATAAATTGTTAGTGAGGCAGAGAAATAAATCTGTGACAATAAATTGTTAGTAAGACAGGGAAATAAATCTGTGACAATAAATTGTTAGTGAGGCAGAGAAATAAAACTGGGACAATAAATTGTTAGTGAGGCAGAGAAATAAATCTGTGACAATAAAATGTGTAACCAATGAACAGACTTTGGCAAACCGAATCCCTGTGAAAGCTGACCCATGTCTTTGACCATGTCTTTGATAGGTTTACTTGTTTCGATAACATAAAGTATTCAGTAATAAATGCCAGTAGAGAAACTCAAATATCTCCAACAGAAACAAAGAAATAGATCAAGTGTGACGAGGAAATATGACAAGAATTACAAAGAAATAGATCAACTGTCGCAAAGAAATATTTCAAGAATTACAAAGAAATAAGTGAAGACTAACAAAGAAATAGGTGGACACACATAGAAGATACCATGCTTACCACAACAGCTTCTACCAACATCTGAGTGGAGCTGTTCCAAGCTTCGGCTGGCTTCATTCCCTTGTCTAGCTGAGTTTTTATCCTAAGACTTGCCTCTGCTATCATCCTATGAGATAAATATTGTAAACACTATGAACTAGAAATGACTGGCGAAAAATGATGCAATGAAAAGATTTTTGAGACGATTTTTGAATGACAGGTTTTCATTTTATAATTTCCTTCTTTTTCCTTTTTTTTTTAAAGTTATTTAATAATTTTAATTCAACAGTTGTGAGACATGTTTCAATTGTTCATATGATTTGAAAGAATGAAATGAAAAACAAAGTGCACAAAATACAAGCTTTTAAAAAAAATAATATAAAGGAGATAAGGGCGTGTTGCTTTTCTCTGTGGTCTGGAGTGAAAGGTCTGATCTGCCTGCCCTGTGCTCATACAGTCTTTTCAAATTGAATTCACAGATAGAAAAGCTAATGAAATGATTTAGGACATCTGACCTACCTGCCAGCCCTGTGCTCATAAGCCTCTATCAACTGCTCCAGTCGAATGTTCTGTGATAGCTGACTTTTCCCATTCTTTGGGTTCTTCAGATAACTCACAAAAGACGGGAGTTGCTGCCCATTGTTTGCTGCTTCTTGGCACTTCATCAAAAACCTTGACAAAAAAGCAGGTTTTTAAACAATTTTATTGATGTTTTAAAATTACTTAGTTAATCCAAACACAGAAATAATACAGGCTAGCTGACTTTGAGATATTAAAAGATTATTTCTGTCCTCACTGATTACATTCTGGCTAGTTAGCTTTGAGATATTCAAAGTTATTGCTGTCCTCACTGATAACAAAATGGCTAGTTAGCTTTAAGAAATTAATAGATATGTCTGTCGTCACTGATAACATACAGGGAGCTAACAATTATATAATATTAAACCAAATCTTTTTAACTTGGTGACAATGTGTGTGTATATTATGTATTCACTTTTTGTTGGCTTACAATTTATTTACTAACTTATAAGACTAATAAACCCCATTTCTTTATTCATGACTCCAGTCAATGCTGAATGGCTTAAATCAGGCCTGCACAACATACGGCCCGTCTGCACCCACTTTGTGACCCGAAAAGTAACGATATATTTTGTATTCTTATTATTTTCCTAACAGCTTACCCCTGTCTTTCTTTTGGCCCGCACAAGTCCTGTCCTGTTTTCTTTTGGCCTCCATAAGTCCTGTCCTATTCTCTTTTGGCCCACACGTTTTTCTTAAAGTGTAACAGCCTGCCTTATATTTTGATTTGTGCAGGCCTGGCTTAAATACTCAGCTGATAATAATTTGGAAATAAATGGGAATGTCTGGCCACTGGGAACTTATTCTTTAACTATATATTTTTATAACATTATATTAACCTGGTTGTCTGAAGGAAAGATAACATTATGTCTACCTGGCTCTCTGAAGACAATGATAAAATTATGTCTACCTGGCTGTCTGGAGGCAGAGCACTGTATTTTCTCCCTCATATGTGCAGGCCGGCACCTCGTGGGTGTAGATTTTAGGCAAACCGCTGGCTTGGATGTAACCATGACCCCCACACGCCAGGCGGCACTGTTCAATCCCAAAAGCCATTTCCCAGGAGCTGAAGGCCTTCAGTGCTGCCGACAGTGCATGGAGCTAGAACAAACAATAACGAATCTTACAGTTAATTATTTATATAGGAATGGTGCAAAGCTAATGTTCACATGGGAAAACCTGAGGCAACAGAATAAGGTTAGATAACTAGTACTAGGGGAAACGACATGAACTTGCACCGCACCCATATAGATTTTATGAAAAAATATACATAAATGATTTGTATTAATGGTAGTTATTAATTGGCAACAGGAACAATGATGCCAGATTCAATGTGCCCTATGCTTTGCCATCAGACATGTGAGGCAGACCTATTAGAATGATGCCTTCAGACATGTAAGGCAGACTTATTAGCATAATACCATCAGATGAGTGAGGCAGATCTATTAGAATAATGCCAGACTCGATATTTCCAAAGCTCTCACCATCAGACATGTGAGACAGACTTAGTGAAGTAAGGCAGCGCTGTTCTAGAGAGATAGTTAAACAAAGAGTTTAAATAAAAAAAACTCAACCTTTAAAGTTTGAAGACCGCAGCCAACTTGGCATGGCATTAAAAAATCTGATGGCTAAAATCTGGTACATGTACCGGGTGTCGTTACCTTTTGAATCTGTTTTCAAATGATCAAACGTTTATAAAGACATTTTGTGTAAGCATAGAACAAATGGTTGTCAGAGGCTTGTTGTTAATTTCATTGTGTTTGACCTAAGCTACAAGAACATGGAGCACAAAAGAACAAGAGGCTGTAAACAATGGCAGTAACTCACAATGGGCAACTCTTCCAGGGCCCCGGACTCAATCTGTGCAGAGACTCTGGTGTACGCAGCTATGGAGGCTCGGCCGGCCATGCTCAAGGCGTACGCTGTGGCTATTTGAACAAACAATCGGTGCTGTTGAGTTTGGAAGTCAAGGACTTGAACTTCTCCGGCACTGAAGGAAAACATGGAGTCAACATGAGGACAAGAGTTCAACATATCACAAAAACTGGTGGACAGAAAAATATGGATTCAACATATAACAATAATTTAAGTTCATTGCCAAACATTGTTTTGATGCATGGCAGTTTATGTGGGTTGCTTCAGACAGCACTGTTTGCTGAGGCCACATGGTAGCACTGTTTGCTGAGGGCATATGGTAGCACTGTTTGCTGAGGCCACATGGTAGCACTGTTTGCTGAGGCCATATGGTAGCACTGTTTGCTGAGGCCATATGGTAGCACTGTTTGCTGAGGCCATATGGTAGCACTGTTTGCTGAGGCCATATGGTAGCACTGTTTGCTGAGGCCACATGGTAGCACTGTTTGCTGAGGACACATGGTAGCACTGTTTGCTGAGGACGTATGGTAGCGTGTACACCAAACAGGCAAAAGCAGGGACCAGAATGTCCTGAACAGCATCTTAACCACAGAGAAATGTGGAGTAATTGCTTGAGCTTGTTATCTCAGATAGAGAATTCTTAAATTTTCGCTGGGAGTGATGTTCCTATATTTTTTTGTGATAAGATGTTTAGGATTTTTTGACAAGTCCATGTATTCTGAACAGCATTGATTATTTCTAATGCATTTTTCAACTGTCATGAATTAGAAGCCAGGAAATAAAGAAACTTGAAACTTTTCACAGCTTTTTGTTATTTGAATCATACAACACATCAGCTTAGCTGGGGCTATGATGTCAAACAACACATCAGCTGTGCTGGGACTGTGAGAAAAATTGTTTTGACTCTATTTCTGTGGTCATAAGGAAGGGGGCTTAACCTCTAGACAATGTTCTATTCTTCTATTTGCCACATATACCAACCACTGTATTCTATAATATAACACACCAACGTACACTTTACATATACAACTGTTCAAGTCTGTTAGCAAAATATCTGAATTCAGTGTGAAACACTGTGTGCACATGGTGAGACAAGATTACTGAAGACAGCTCCACACTGTCCAACACAATCTTACATACCCAGGGTTGATCTCAGACTGCCTTCGGACTGCACTGTATCTCGTTGCTATGGTTACAGCCTTGGACAAAGCCCTGGCACAGCCACCCACAATCTGGGCACGGATCAAAGTCATAGACCCGTACAAAAGTTTGTCGTTTTTAGGGGAGACAAATGTGCCGTCTTCGAGGACCTGAATTTAACCAAAACAAAACCAGATTAGAGACAAATATTTTATTTGTAATATCTGATCACCAGAAAAGTCATAAGATGAGGACTATGTTGTCATATGAAGGCATGAATGTAAACATGTCGACTAAGATTTAGCCAGTTAGTAAAAACAATCAGGACGTGATTAGAACAGACGAGATTAGAAGCTATGACTTGAACAGATGAGATTAGAAGCTATGACTTGAACAGATGAGATTAGAAGCTATGACTTGAACAGACGAGGTTAGAAGCTATGACTTGAACAAAAGAGATTAGAAGCTATGACTTGAACAAAAGAGATTAGAAGCTATGACTTGAACAGATGAGATTAGAAGTTATGACTTGAACAGACAACGTTAGAAGCTATGACTTGAACAGATGAGATTAGAAGCTATGACTTGAACAAAAAAGATTAGAAGCTATGACTTGAACAAAAGAGATAAGAAGCTATGACTTGAACAGATGAGATTAGAAGCTATGACTTAAGACTTCCTACCTGAGAGTATCTCATAAGCATGTTCTCCCTGGGGATTCTCACATTGTTCAGAGTCAAGAACCCATTGTCCATCGCTCCGTAACCAAACTTCTGTCCAATGTCTCCCACTGTCACTCCTGTGGACAGGAATTGAAAGAACATTTTCATATTTCCCCTAGGCTTAAAATGTGTAAGTACAAGCCTAGCAAACATAGCCTTCAATCCAAATTATGTTACCTTATTCCATCAAAGTTTGTATTTATTTTTAAGGTGGTCTGACCTGGTGCTTGTGCTTGGCACCTTCCAACCTTGGCTAGTTTATGTCCTACTTCTAATTTTTATTTTCACATTTTTTTTTTACTTTTCCTTGTTTTGTTCACTGTTGAACATTCCTTGTTTTGGCTCATTTCAAGCTTGATCTTACATTGTTCATGCGTTGGACAGGATCTTCATGCGTTGGACAGGATCAACATTTATTAATATCATTATCATGTATGATTAAAAACAGGTTCAAATTTTCCAGCCACTTACCTGGCAATGGTTGGTGTGTCTTCACATCTCTGATCTGGACAATGAAAGAATGCATTCCACAGTCCACTTACCTGGCAATGGTTGGTGTGTCTGCACATCTCTGATCTGGACAATGAAAGACTGCATTCCACAGTCCACTTACCTGGCAATGGTTGGTCTGTCCCCACATCTCTGATCTGGACAATGAAAGACTGCATTCCACAGTCCTATTACCTGGCAATGGTTGGTGTGTCTGCACATCTCTGATCTGGGCAATGAAAGACTGCATTCCACAGTCCACTTACCTGGCAATGGTTGGTGTGTCCCCGCATTTCTGATCTGGACAATGAAAGAATGCATTCCACAGTCCACTTACCTGGCAATGGTTGGTGTGTCCCCGCATTTCTGATCTGGACAATGAAAGACTGCATTCCACAGTCCACTTACCTGGCAATGGTTGGTGTGTCTCCACATCTCTGATCTGGACAATGAAAGACTGCATTCCACAGTCCACTTACCTGGCAATGGTTGGTGTGTCTCCACATCTCTGATCTGGACAATGAAAGACTGCATTCCGCAGTCTCTGCCTCCCACGTTCAGCTTGGCCATCACCACACAATGGTTGGCTGTTTTACCCACTGGACAGAGAGTATAGGGAACATGTTAGTTGTTGGGAGCTGGTGAGGTGATTGTTGGTGAACTTGATGAGGTGATGTTGGGAAACTTGATGCGGTGATTGTTGGGGAACTTGATGCGGTAATTGTTGGGGAACTTGATGAGGTGATTGTTGGGGAACTTGATGCAGTGATTGTTGGGGAACTTGATGAGGTAATTGTTTGGGAACTTTATGAGGTGATTGTTGGGGAACTTGATGTGGTAATTGTTGGGGAACTTGATGAGGTGATTGTTGGGGAACTTGATGCAGTGATTGTTGGGGAACTTGATGAGGTGATTGCTGGGAACTTGATGATTGTTTGGGCAATAGATTTTACTTACATCCACCAGGCCAGAATTTGGATGATGTGACTGTAGGAGAATTGATGATGAATTCTTTAGACTTAACATCATATGTGGCTGTTGTCTCCAGACCACGTAAGAAAGTCCCTGTAATATGTAATAACACTGTCTACATCACTTGACATTATGTCACATACTCATGTGAAAGACATATACATAAATCCACTGTCCTTGGGGAAGTGTGTAATGTCATAGCACTGTCTACATCACTTGAAATAACCTCACATACTAAAGTGAAGGACATATGCATAAACCCACGGTCCTTGGGGCAGTGAGTAATGTCATATGACTACTTAATGATGATGCCCTCATTGATAAGTCCAACATTTAGCTTGCACTAATATACCTGTTGCAAATGGGTCATGCCAAGACCTTAGGATGTCTAGTGCATGTATCTTGTGCAACCTTAGCAAAAACTGATTACATCCAATGAAAACATTGGGTAGCATATAATATTACAATTACAAAAGTCATCTTATGGGATGGTAGATTCATTTCTCAGCAATCAACTTGTCAAGTTTACAAATATGATAATTTGAATGACAGTTCTTGGGACCGGGGATCACAGCCTCACACAGATGGATGCTTCTTTGATACCATAAAGACCCATCCAGGGCAATAAAATTGAAAGCAATTTTACTATTGTGTATGTGCAAACAATTTACAAGAAAGTGAACAATTTGAATGACATGCAGCTGTAATCAAATGTAAATAAAACCAATTGAACCAATAGTTGACTTAGTACTGTTGTGGTCAAGTCTAAGGACCAGAAATGAACATTTCAATTTTGATAATGCTGAAATGGCGTGTAGTGCAATTTTCTGGTAATCTTTAGCTTTTTTAAGTGCAATCTAATTGGTCATGAGAGCAGGAGGTGAGAATAGAGCAATTATAGGAATAAGATGAAATAGTGCAACTTATTTGGTCTAGTCAACAACAAGAAGAGAATAGTGCAACTTATTTGGTCTAGTCAACAACAAGAAGAAAATAGTGCAATGTATTTGGTCTAGTCAACAACAAGAAGAAAATAGTGCAATGTATTTGGTCTAGTTAACAACAAGAAGAAAATAGTGCAACTTATTTGGTCTAGCCAACAACAAGAAGAAAATAGTGCAACTTATTTGGTCTAGTCAACAACAAGAAGAAAATAGTGCAACTTATTTTGTCTAGTCAACAACAAGAAGAAAATAGTGCAATGTATTTGGTCTAGTTAACAACAAGAAGAAAATAGTGCAACTTATTTGGTCTAGCCAACAACAAGAAGAAAATAGTACAATTCATTTGGTCTAGTCAACAACAAGAAGAAAATAGTGCAACTTATTTGGTCTAGCTAACAACAAGAAGAAAATAGTGCAACTTATTTGGTCTAGTCAACAACAAGAAGAAAATAGTGCAACTTATTTGGTCTAGTCAACAACAAGAAGAAAATAGTGCAACTTATTTGGTCTAGTCAACAACAAGAAGAAAATAGTGCAACTTATTTGGTCTAGTCAACAACAAGAAGAAAATAGTGCAACTTATTTGGTCTAGTCAACAACAAGAAGAAAATAGTACAATGAATTGGCCATTAAATCCAGACATCCCCACTGGACAAAACAATTACACAGCTGAGATGTTGATTTCAACTTACTGAAAAGCTGAGACTTTCCATTCAGAGATTTTATCATCATTTGAGGTGGGATGATGGAGCAGGTGGGATGTAGTGTAGGTGGTATGGTAGAGGAGGTGGGTTGTTAGTGAAGGACAGATGGTAGTGGTGTTTGGAAGGTGGTGGTGGTGGGATGTAGTGGAAATGATAAGATTTCTAATGAAATCAAATCAGAGATTCCCAAAAGATTGCCCAGCTGAAGGCGAAGGATACCATTACAAAATACACATTTAGTCAATTGATTCCACCCCCACCACACCCCCCCCCCCACAACCAAATCCTCAAGGTAGTGTTTTAATTACTGTCCACACTAAATATAAGACTGTAACTACCTCTCTAATATTCACTTTCGGCCAAAACCGAAATTAAACTGAAAGTTAATATTTCAGTTTCGTCCGAAACCGGAACTAGGCCGAAAGTGATCAAATGGCAACTTTCAGCACCGAAACCATGGCCGATATTCGGTCTGTCTCTAATTCAAATTGAAACATAGCATGTGAAGCATAACTACACAATGTCAACATTACAGACAGAATTATGTAGGCATGCATCAATATGAAATATGTCTATTAATAACTGAGCACAAATCCCAGAGTGCTGATTGTGTAAAGTGTGAAGAAAAAAACTACAAGAAACACATTATGACATGGCAGAATTATCTCATGATCATTTGTAGCATGCACAGAAAATAAATACCGTAACCCAAACTTCATTCCAACACATGCAATCCCAGGACTGCAGTCCTCAGACTACAAACCTGACGCAACTCACTTGAATGTACATTCCAGACATTATAAGCATAAAACTACAATTCCAGGAAGAAAAGAGCCCTACAATCCTAGCACTACAATCCTACCTAATGAAAATGATGTGCCTTACCATGATCTAGTTCAGTTTGAGCATTAGGCCCCTGGACTTCATCCTATCACTAAAATCTTATCCCTACAATCCTAGCCCTAAAATCTTATCCCTACAATCCTATCACTACAATCCTATCTGATGATGATGATTTGCCTTACCATGACCAAGCTCAGTTTGAGCATAAGTCCCTAAGACTTGAAATCGTTTGGCCAGTGGGATCCACTTTTTCGTCTGCTCCTCAGTTCCTTGTTTCTGAATGGTTGGTAAAAACATGCTTTCATGGAGCCCAAACGGAGATGAGTCACTGGCAAACAATGGTCTGAAAGTTTGCCAAACAAAATCTAGCATTATGGGATTTGTGCTACTTATCTTGTTCAACCCAGGAAACATCTGTTTTCAAAAGTCACCTGAAACTATGTTAAATTCTGAAAGTTCTTTCAAGATCATTGTCAGTTAGAAGAAAAACTAGATCTACACAATTTTTTTTTCAACAGAAATTTTTAAAAAAATTGTTCCAAAAAAATCTGGAGATCAAAAGTTTCCATTTGATGATGATGTGTCATTGTATTTCCTTCTGAGTTCATCACTCAAGCATAAAATAGCTAGGATACAAATTAAGCTCAGTTGATGTCATTGAGAAACAAGACAATCAATCTGCTCTTGTTGTTGTATCAACCAAAACACATCAAGTATCAAGGCTTTGGAAAAGTGGGCAAAGATCAAAGATATTGGAACAGATGAAGGAGGTACAAAGGCTGAATTTGATTTAACAGGAATAAAATCTTAACAGTTGAATATTCTTCCTTAATTCAATATCAGCATCTCAACTAGGCAAACTATACAAGGAAAATGATTATAAGAGACCAGACATTAAATGTATTCCATCAAAGACACCTTAAAAAGTTAATGGGATTCTACTAATGCTTTCACATAAATAACAAAGAAGTTGTTAGAAGTAGAAAACAGTGCCAGGAAATGAGAGTTATTGTTTGCTGAATGTGGTACACAAGGCACATCATTCAACAAAACAGTTGAACACTACTACTAGAAGTGGCAGGGAGAGACATTCAAAACAGTTGAACACTACTACTAGAAGTGGCAGGGAGAGACATTTAAAACAGTTTAACACAACTACTAGAAGTGGCAGGGAGAGAAATTTAAAACAGTTTAACACTACTACTAGAAGTGGCAAGGAGAGACATTTAAAACAGTTCAACACTACTACTAGAAGTGGCAGGGAGAGAAATTTAAAACAGTTTAACACTACTACTAGAAGTGGCAGGGAGAGAAATTTAAAACAGTTTAACACTACTACTAGAAGTGGCAGGGAGAGACATTTAAAACAGTTCAACACTACTACTAGAAGTGGCAGGGAGAGAAATTTAAAACAGTTTAAAACTACTACTAGAAGTGGCAGGGAGAGACATTTAAAACAGTTCAACACTACTACTAGAAGTGGCAGGGAGAGAAATTTAAAACAGTCTAACACTACTACTAGAAGTGGCAGGGAGAGACATTTAAAACAGTTCAACACTACTACTAGAAGTGGCAGGGAGAGACATTTAAAACAGTTCAACACTACTACTAGAAGTGGCAGGAAGAGACATATAAAACAGTTCAACACTACCACTAGAAGTGGCAGGGAGAGACATTTAAAGCAGTTCAACACTACTACTAGAAGTGGCAGGGAGAGACATTTAAAACAGTTCAACACTACTACTAGAAGTGGCAGGGAGAGACATTTAAAACAGTTCAACACTACCACTAGAAGTGGCAGGGAGAGACATATAAAACAGTTCAACACTACTACTAGAAGTGGCAGGGAGAGACATATGAAACAGTTTAACACTACCACTAGAAGTGGCAGGGAGAGACATTTAAAACAGTTGAACACAACTACTAGAAGTGGCAGGGAGAGAATTTTTGTATATTAATTGTTTCCCAATGCACTTAAGAGAGTGACAGGTACTAAGACTCTGAGAATATTTAAGAGAGGTTCTAAGATTTTGACTACAGTCGAGCCCACTTATCTCAACCTCGGTTAACTCAGCACATTTTGGCAAAACCCGAGGCCGGTGACATAACAGAGTTCAACTGTATATTTAAGAGAGTTACTAATAAGACTTTTGGATATATTTAAGCGTTATTTCAACTCAAAACCAAAGTTGAAACTGAAGTTTCAAGAAACATACGGGGAAAAAACACTGACATTAAACAATTATTCCTGGTAAAATTGTTTGCTTTTTTTTATTTATAAGGAATATAATAAGGTATAATTTGTTCAAATGCACCTTCCATTGTCAACTGTGGTCCTTAGTGGTACTGACTATCAACCTTGACACTGTTAACTAGTTTGATTTGCACAGAGCCATGAAGATAACAAGGGAGTCACATTATGTAACATTACTTCTGCCTGCTGAACACTAATGATAATAAAGGTGGTCCCCATGTCATCAGTCAGGGGTATGGCTAAGGGAGGGGTTGATCTTGTTTGGCAGGAATATTTCCATGAGACAAATCTATCAAGGGTATCGCAATTTTATGAATGTTTTAGTTCATGCTCACTTCAGTGATAGACATTGATTTTTGAAATTTTTTTTTTTTTTATAGTGCAGACTTTGGCCTCATTCAGCAGGCAATCTTTGGTCACATGACCTAGTTTACACAATGGCTTCACTGGGTTTCTGTGCTGCTTTTAGACTAAGTTTTTGATGTACTCATATGAAATCATATTTGGAATGTTTACTTTTGGGAAAGCTAAAGCAACTGTTATGGAAGCTATGTATCCACAGATTTTGTTCATATGAATTATTTTATCAAAAAGACACAATTTCATTTTGATGAAAGCTTTTCAATTATTTTAAAAAAAGAATTCCTATATGAAGCAACAGTTTTGTAGTGAACATATTTGTCATAAAACTTCATATACATTTTAGTAAGGCTGGAATGGGAAAAAAACAGGGAAAAGGGGAGGGGGGGGGGAAGACCTCATACAACAAAAAGCTTTGTTTGAAACAGACTTAACACATCAAGTACCAAGTCAACTTTTCTGTCAAAGACCTTGTGATCACCATGGATTCACAATGTCTCATCTGCCACCTACCGTGGCCCAGCTCAGTCTGAGCATAGGTGCCAATCACTTGGAATGAGTGAATCAAGGGCAGCCACTTTGCTTTTTGCTCTGGTGTGCCCAGCTTCTCAACAGTTGGCTCAAAAGCCATCATATGGATAACAAAGGAATTTTCTGATAACAAAACTCTGGAAGAAAAATGTTCTCTGTTAAATCTGATTCAAGTGAAAGGGCTAAATATAGAATTATACTGCTTTAAAAGGACTTGAAAGATCATTTCAACAGACCTGATGCTTTATAAACATTTGTTTATGTCTCATATATTTCATGTCCAGATTTATAGACATTTTCATTTTTCTCATAGAACCCAATAATCTCGTTGGTGACTTCTGCGTACTGTGCTGCCCTTCTTTATTATTTAATTTGCTTATTGTTGTGTACAGTGCTGCCTTCTCTATTATTTCATTTGTTTATTGTTGTGTACAGTGCTGCTCTTCTCTATTATTTCATTTGTTTATTGCTGTGTACAGTACAACAACTTGGTACTTTCATTGACGCTTAGTTTTGTGGTATTTATTGGACTGCCCATGACTTTCTACTTACATGTAATAAATAGGCATAGTTCCTCTTTTTTTTAACTTTAAAGCACTCAACTTTAAGGTTATCATAATTCTAATTTTAAGGATTTTTTTATCATAGAAATTATTATAAGGGAACCATTTGATATTGTCTCCACCCCACCCCACCCATTGCACCCATTTCCTCCCCTTAAAAATCCCTTTTTGAAGCTGTTTGCATACTAAAACAAATTTCTTTTCCTATATTCAGGCACTTAGGAGCCATCCATAACTATTGTCATGCTTAAGATAATTTTTTACCCCCAAATCATCACAAATTTGTCACAAAATTTAGCAACCATGATAAAAGTATCATCACAAAATCTTATGTCTACTCAGACCCTTACCCCATCTCCTCCAATTTATGACGTCATTTATGGAGGGGCCCCTTATTATTTGTATAAAAGTATGCCTAGTGAACCCTCTCTCTTACTTTAGACTAGAGGCTTGGTGAACGTTCTCTCTTACTTTAGACTAGCGGCTTGACATAGGGAACCATTTATATATTGTATAAAAGTATGTCTAGTGAACCTTCTCTCTTACTTTAGACTAGCAGCTTGACACAGACCTGTTTACCCTCAAACTCTTCAAATCGTACAATATCATCACAAAATCGTTTAAAACATTATCTTAATTGTAAAATAATAAACCTACTGTATAAACACGTATACACCTTAAAATCGTACATTGTACGCCAAAATCGTAAGAGTAAACAGGTCTGTTGACATAGGGAACCATTGTCAAATAAATGAAATTCCACTGAATGTTAATCACAAACACAACTCACTCTTTGAAGAAATACAAATCTGTTGAATCTTTCAACCCGAGTTCAGCAATTCTTCTTAAGGCATACGTAGTTTTACGCAGAGCCTCATCATACTGTTCTTCTCTCGTCAGCTCTGCAGTCCGTCTGAATCCCTGTTCTTGACTCTCCTTGATAGCAATATTTTCTAATTAAACAAAATGTAATAAGATAAATTTTTCATGTATAAATTTTTTTTAAAATTAAATAAAACTCTTCCCAGCATTAATCCTTCTTTTATTTCATCAAAAATATGATAGTATAAGTTTACTTAAAATAATAATATCAATATATCTTGTAAAGCGAGGCATTGTTCTTTGATTAAAAGAAATACGACATTCAGGCTATTTTAGGCTTTATTTTAGGCTTAAGGTACATTTACACTGCAGATCTGCTACAGGGATTCTCAACTTTCTGTGCTACTTGCTGCAAAAAAAATGGAGCCAAAAAGTTTCCTTTCGAAAGGTTTGTTGAGAATTGCTGTTTAATGTCTGCTGGCAATATACAGACACACAATCTCGTCATATTTTTTATCATTACGCTTATATTGTTTGCAAATTTTAGTTATTAGCTGTATTGGACAGTAGCCCTACAGAGGCATATTTTGTAGTACTAAGATTAAAGTTTGTGAAATAAATTTCAAGTTCGATTTTATGGAGTGGGCAAAATGAGAAAGATTAGAGAAATGATGTATTTTTCTTAACAAATGAAATTAATTTAAGATTTTTTTTTTAAATTTTACATGTTTCAGACCTGTTGTTTACTCTTACGATTTTGGCGCACAATGTACGATTTTGAGGTGTAAACATTATATATACTCTATGTTAATTTTTTACTATAAATATAAGGTATTAAACGATTTTGTGATGATATTGTAGGATTTTAAGAGTTCGAGGGTAAACAGGTCTGATGTTTTAACCCTAGATATTATTGGTAAAATCATTATTAAAATTTATTAATTTAAAGAGCCACATGCAGCTCCAGGTTTCAGGTTACTGACTGTTGCACTAGCACATAAATTTAAAATTGATAAATATAAACAAAAGTTGTTCATCAGAAGCCATAGCTGCGCTCGCTCATGTGAACATAATAATAATAATAATAAAGTGCATTTTAAAAACACGCTTCATCCTTAATTAAGGCTCAAAGCGCGGTACAAAGTCAACCATATATCACAATTTATATATTTCCACAAATAAAATACAAAACGCAACAATACAAGATCTACATCAAGGAAAATGAGCAAGCTGGAAACATGGAGGTAGACTACATCAACATGGATTCACCACTGAGAATTGTAGCTTGAAAAAACCTGCAGTGTGAACGTAGCTTTATGCCTAGAATTACAATTAACTAGAAACAATAATTGAATTTTTTTTAAATATAAGATAATTATATAGGCATTAGGCTGTTTAGGCTATAAAAATAGTAAGGGACAAATAAATATATTTATATACTATATAATGTATATATAGACTATGAATATCTATAATTATGATATAGGCAATACCAATAGTGAAGTAGTACGAGACTGAAATGCAGTTAGCGGCAGGACCAGTGATGTCTTCCATGGTATATAGATCATGGAGGTTCCCCAGATCAACTACCGCCCAAGTTCCGTATTTCAAAAGATTTCAAAATTTAGCTCTAATGTTATGTGATAGTTTGTTTTTTCTCAATTTTTAATTTTTGTCTTGAAAGGGGGGGAGTGGGAGGGGTCTACCCTACCCAGAAATTACATTGAAGTGTCCCGTTTTTTAACCGAATAATGCTCAATGAAGAACGGGAAAGTTGTTATTTTCATTGATCAGAATCATTGGTCCAGTCACCCTATGTTCAGTGATGGGATTCCTCAAAGTGATGTCACTGTGCTTAGGGTGAGACAACTCGTGAAAAAAAAACATGCCCATGCCATTAACTGCACATTTGCTGCACATTGATGAAATATATTGTAAATAATTATAATATATTTAAAGTTTTATTATTATATATAAATATATGGAATTTTTATGTATTAATCATATTTACACTTTAAAATTAAATAAAAATTTTACAAAGCGGTTTCTTACATTTTAATTATGGGTCATTACTGTCATTAGTAATATTATTATTAGCGGCTCAGTAAGTCACTAATTAATAAGGATAAGTTAAATAATAATGAATCAGTAATGTATATTAGTCAGTATGATTGGTATGAGACTTTTTTTTTTTTGTTGAATAAACGAAGTGATTATATGCACAGCTGTGCGCATAAGACTCATCGTTTTTCAAAAATTTCAGTCTGCCAATAACGCTTGGCACTATGCGCAAGTTACTGTATGAGGGGCTTGAAATCAGCAATACAACGATGTATTTATAAAAACCTCCACACGTGGGGTGGTCAGAAATTTGAAAGGTTATGTGCATAGTTTTTTAAACGAATTCACATAATATGGCATTCATTATAATATATTAAGCCTATATTATGGTGTGACTTAATGATGGTTAGTAATAGTAGGCTATAGTTAGACCTATGAAAATGTTTGATTTCATTAGTGCATAGCTTCGGTTTAGAAATGTGTTTGTGCCATGCTCATTAAACATCGATCTATCCTACAATACTTAACACTACAACACCACCACCACCCCCCCCCCCACCACCCCAGCTTGGAATATGATCCTAATTAATTCTAGAAATTTGCTAAATATTCAAGCGATAACGCTCTGCATTATACGTACAGCTGTGCACATGACATAACTCTTCCCTGCCTTGAATAGATCACAATTATAGAATTGTAAAATTATACCATAGGGATCGATTAAAGCCATTTTTTACGTTTTCTTTTTATTTTAGCAAACGTGAATTATTTTATTTTTCCATGGCCGCCATCTTGGTTGCCTCAACACGTGAACACGTAAAAGTGCGCGGGTCGAGGCAACCAAGATGGCGGCCATGGAAATAGACGCGGGCCGCTCTCTCTTAAATTACCGTAAAATTAATATAAATAATAAATGAAAATGTAAATTAAAAAAACTGGAACATGCCTGACCATACTCTTATAGAACTTTTAGTGTCTTGTTAGGCTAAAGTAAATCATATTAAATGAGTTCTACAAAAAAGTTATAAGTTCTAATCGTTAAGCAGCAAAAGCATAAGACAAGACTGACAAGTAATTAAGTAATTTAGGCCTAGCCTAATACTAATACTAATATATCAGTTTAAAAAAGTTTAATCTAGTTTCGTCCCCATTCATTACAATACAATCAATGAGCTAACTGTCGCTTGTCAAGAACGACACATAACTTCAATAAAAAGCTTACGTAAGAAACGTTTCCTTTTTGTTTTGTCCGCTCCATCATAAATAAAATAAGTTAACTTCAATGGGTCGAATGTTGCCTGTGCTCTTGCTCGAGCTAGATCAGGATTCACTGTAGCAGTCGCCATGTTCGTTTACAAAGTGTCTATCATTACCGGTCACGTTACAGATTTTGTCCTTAGAAGCCGTGTCAAAGTTCAATTATCCTACTTCGCAGTGGCGTAGGCCTATGCCTACAAGACAGCCAGAGGCGGAATTGCCTTGGGGCTAAGAGATAAAGGATTAAAACTGAAATTATAATTTAAACTTAAAATGTATGGGGGAAATCTGTATTATTTATTTTGCTGTTTTTTTTAATAAATTTATTGAAGAAATGGCTTCACTATATAAACTATATCATTAATTATATTTCAATAAGCTCGACTTATGGCACGGGTCAGGAGAGTCACTCTCCAGAACCTTGCCAGAAGAACCTCTCAAATGCCCACCTAGCCCTAACCAAATGACGTCCCTGATTACAAGTATGATCAAGTTAAAATCAAATCCTGCTCACAACCCTCCCCCCCCCCCATATGGATCTCTTGACCTGGGGCTCCTAGGCTCGTACTCATTTTCTTATAGGTTAACTCGGTATTATTAGCAGCATTTTCTCAACTATCCTCTCAAAAACCAAACAAGTATGATCAAGTTAAAATCAAATCCTGCTCACAACCCTCCCCCCCCCCATATGGATCTCTTGACCTGGGGCTCCTAGGCTCGTACTCATTTTCTTATAGGTTAACTCGGTATTATTAGCAGCATTTTCTCAACTATCCTCTCAAAAACCAACAATCTTCGCCTGCTCTTGTGTCCGTCCATTACAATGAGATAGTTATATTTACAAGGCACGTCTTAAGCTATTGTATTTGAGAGCAAAAAAAAGTGTAACATTCATACCAGCGATAAACAGCTTCTTGTAATGTCCCTTCTATTTAAATATGACCATCTACCTCTAAGAATAATTCCCCCCCCCCCCTTTTTACGACTCTAGATCAGGCCTGCACAACTCAAAATGTAAGGCGGGCCGTAATACTTTGTGAAAAAACTTGTGCGGGCCGAATGATGATAGGACGGGGGGAAAGGGGGGGGGCTATTAAGGAAATAATAAAGAATATTTCGTTACTTCGCGGGCCACCAAGTGGGCGCTGGCGGACCTTTTTTCGACTCTAGATCAGGCCTGCACAACTCAAAATGTAAGGGGGGCCGTAATACTTTGTGAAAAAACTTGTGCGGGCCGAATGATGATAGGACGGGGGGAAAGGGGGGGGGGCTATTAAGGAAATAATAAAGAATATTTCGTTACTTCGCGGGCCACCAAGTGGGCGCTGGCGGGCCGTATGTTGTGCAGGCCTGCTCTAGATAGGTAGGCCTACATCTATAGTAAGGCTTGTCATTCCAGACCACAAGAGGACGAGGATTATAATACGAAAATTATTTTAATATTGTTTTTTATTTTTTTTTTATTTATAAAAACATGAAAGAATTAGTATTAGGCTTTAGGGTAAATAAAACATGTGAATCATTAAAATACACATCTCCTATTTTCTGTGATCATTGGCAAGTTGAACACTGGAAACCACACCATCAATCTTTATATCGGCGTCTGCAATAGATATACTCTATATTAATAATGTATTTAGATATATTCTATATTAATAATGTATTTTGAAGTCATTAACATATGTTCACAAATGCGAACTCCTAAAAACTCATTAACTTTAATCGTTCCCTTCATAAATCTAAGATTTACGTTTATGTCTTTCCCAGTTTTCAAAGTGTAGGCAGTCTTTAAAAAAAAAAAATAGATATTACAACATTTAGTGTTGAGGTTTGCACTTATTTGTAACGCCATTAACATGAACAAAACAGAGTATGCCTAATTACCATGAACAAGAGACCATTGTTAATTCGAGTTGCTTTGTTGAAAATGAAATCCTTGTATTAGGTAATAATAAGGTATTACATTGTCATCCCGCTTATCAGCAGACGATCACCTTAGAGCTCATTTTACTTTTCAATTATTTTATTATATTTATTTATTTTTATTTTTTGACTAGGCCTATACAAAAAATGGAGAGTGCGACCATAGAGTTGCACACCAAGAATGGGCGCCTGTATGCGTCTGGTAAGTACAGCGTTAAAAGAAAAGCCATAAAGTCATTCTCTTCTTTTGCAACAGAGTGGGTAAAGGTGTAAGTGTAGAAACAATTATCCGAAGAGCTGTTACTTATCATGACTTATGGTAACGCATGAAATTCTGCTCATCATAATTATAATATAATTAAAATTGTGTAGTATCATATTTTCCTTATATTATCATTTTTATTCATCATTAGTTTAGACACAATCGCCATTTTTTTCAATAAAAAAATAAATTAATATATCAGCCCTTGAATTCATGGATTTGTGACCAGTTCTGCCTCTTATTCTCACATATATCAGCCCTTGAAGCCTTGAATTTATGGACTTGCGACCAGTTCTGCCTCTTATTATCACATACATCAGCCCTTGAAGCCTTGAATTTATGGACTCGCGGCCAGTTCTGCCTCTTATAATCACATATATCAGCCCTTGAAGCCTTGAATTTATGGACTCGCGGCCAGTTCTGCGTCTTTTACTTGACGCTTCAAATTTACAGGAAAAACCCGTATGAATATTTTAAGTCCACAGAAATTAAATTTCATCTCAATGATTTTTTGTTTGTTTTTTGTTGTTTTGTTTGTTAACATTCGCCAGATATATGATCAAAGTGTATTAAAATCAAAGCAATGCACTAAAAATTACTTTGTCTCTTGTTTGAGGTCTTTGCATTATTACATTTTGAATCATTACGATTTGTTCATAAAGATCATTCTCAAATGTTTGAGTAGCGATATAGGCAGTGGTTATTTCAGAAATTTTCCCGGGGGGGGGGGGGGG